GCTAATAATTTTTTCCGAACTTTTTAAGACGTGACATTGTGGTAGAATCTTCGCAATAAAAATTTATTTATAATTTTCGATGTTGCGACAATCATTTAACACAATATAAATTAACTTGAAGAAAACGATTATTACCTTTTATAATAAAAAAAAAAAGTGCATTAAAAAATTGTAAATTAAATAATGAATAGAAAAATGAAAAATTCAAACTTACAACTCATTTTTACGGAAATAAACTAAAACTGTAAAATACAAAAGCATGTATTTCTTAAATAATTTTGAAGCCAATAAAACGATGGTTAAAATTAATTAAACCATGTTAAGACTTTCATCAATCTCATAGGAACTGCATAATATAAAATTTTCATTAATATTCAAGACATTGAGGGAAAAGTGATAAATTATTTGCAATTTGAACATAATGGTAATATCCTAAAGTTTGTAACATAAATAAAAGGTGTTAACTGTTAGGGGGACCGGAAAGCAATGTCGCTTTTTTTTTTCATAAAACTCAAATACATAAATTTTTAGCAAGTCTTTATTTTTATTCAATAATGTAATCACCCTCGTTCGCAACAACATTTTGCAATCAAGTGTGCAAATGTTCAATGCTGGATCTATAAGAGTCAACTTATTTTAGAGCTAAATATCTTGAGATATTATTTTGGATGTCATCGAAATTTCCAAATTTTTTACTACTTAGAAAATGTTGAAGTGGTCGGAATAAATTGTAATCCGATAGTGCTTACAATTATCGGTCTATTGCCCTATTTATTAATTTTTTTCGGGGCTTGTCTTGCGTAGTGTGATCTTGCGTTATCGTGTTGCAGAATAACGCCTTTTCTGTTGATAAGGATTGACTTAGTTGATCAAATTGTTTACAATAAAGGCCTGGACAGTTTGTCCTGGCTTAGCTGTACTTCGTGGTATTTCATTCGGAGACAACCATTGCCTTTTGCGTTTTGAACTATCATACAGCACACATTTTTTATTTCCAATGATCAAGCGGCCAAAAAACGATTCTGTATTGTGCCGCTGAAGCAGTAAGTTGCATGTAGCGGATCAGTAAGCTTTGTTTTCTTCGCAAACAATACGGAACGCGAACACCTGCCCTGCTTACTTTACCAATCTGCTGCAAATGTTCTTGAATGGTCAATCAAGGTTGATTGAGAGTGTGTGATCCCTCTCCCCGACGGCACGTATGTCATCTGCTATGCAGATGACACGTATATTCTTGCCGTCGGGGAGACGTTTGAAAGGACCATCCGTCTGGCAGAGGTGGCAGTTGCCGCCGTTGTCGGACGGATCCACGAGCTGGGGTTGAGGATAGACCCCCGTAAGACCGAGGCAATGTTCTTTCACAACTTGCCTCGGTCGCGGAGTCCGCCCCCCTCGTGGGTCCGTGTAGGTGAGGCCTGGGTCGAGGTCGGGTCCGAGATGAGATACCTCGGGCTCGTCCTCGACAGCCACTGGCGTTTCGTGATTCATTTCGACCGTCTGGTCCCCCGAGTGGAACGGGCAGCGGCCGCGTTGGGTCGCATCATGCCCAATCTCGGGGGACCTGAGGAGAGGGTTCGCCGCCTCTACGTGGGGGTGGTGCGGTCCATGGTGCTCTACGGAGCACCACGCCGTCGTCGGACGGATCCACGAGCTGGGATTGAGGATAGACCCCCGTAAGACCAAGGCCATGTTTTTCCACAATAGACCTCGGTCGCGGGGTCCTCCCCCCTCGTGGATCCGGGTGGGTGATGCCTGAGTCGAGGTCGGGGTCAGTATGAAGTATCTGGGCCTTGTCCTCGACAGCCACTGGCGCTTCGATCTCCATTTCGATCGCCTGGTCCCCCGAGTTGAGCGGGCAGCGGCCGTCCTTGGCCGCCTTATGCCCAATCTCGGGGGGCCGGAAGTGAAGGTTCGCCGCCTGTACGTGGGGGTGGTACGGTCTATGATGTCCATGATTTTGTATGGATAAGTTGTTTGGGCGTCGGCCCTGGTAGTCAGCCGCCGCAGCTTGCAGCTTGTGCATCGTCTGCAGAGACGGCTGGCCATCAGAGTCGTTAGGGGATACCGTACCATCTCCTACGGGACGGCGATGGCTCTGGCAGGCC